TTACATGTCTCACATACTCATGAACTCAAACACAGAAACATGTTACATGTCTCACATACTCATGACCGCAAACACAGAAACACATTACATGTCTCACATAATCATGACCTCAAACACAGAAACATTACATGTCTCACATACTCATGAACTCAAACACAGAAACATGTTACATGTCTCACAAACTCATGACCGCAAACACAGAAACACATTACATGAAATTCCCCTGTCTGCATCACACAGGGGTGAAATAATAATGTGAGGTCGTGAGTTTGTGATATATATATAACATGTATCTATGTGTGAGGTCGTGAGTATGTGAGGTGTGTTACATGTATATATGAGTGAGATCGTGAGTATGTAAGATGTGTTAAATGTATATATGTGAGATGTGTAACATGTATCTATGTGTGAGGTCGTGAGTATGTGAGATGTGTAACATGCATCTATGTGTAAGGTCGTGAGTATGTGAGATGTGATACATGTATCTATGTGTAAGGTCGTGAGTATGTGAAATATTACATGACCTAATCTATTATCTCTCAATTTGTAACAGTTACTGTTTACAGCAACAGTTGTATGAATGAAATCGAGAATTAAAAGAAATAAATTATAAAATTCTTTTAAGAATTAGCAACAACGTGTAAAAAGGTTGCCGTCCTTTTATCATAATCTTATAGATAAAACGAACAAGTGCACATTTGAACACAAAAGATTATCTATTTAAATGTATTACATTATTTTTTTGTAAAATGACAACCTTTTAAATGATTGGTTCGCCTTTGAGTCTATATAGAGTGCGTATTGGCAGGTGAGCAAGACATTTCTAGGTTCCATTAATAAGTACTGTACACTATAAATGGTGGAGGTGATATATCTCATCTTTTTTTACAAAATATTATACATATGAATCACTCAATGTTTGTGTACAATTCTTTTTCATTTTAATAGCTTTTTTATTCGATTTAATGGGTAGGCAACACGCAGGCATTAAATGCTTCTATATCCATATCTTGTATTACATATATTTTAATAAGGATCCCCGTTCCATTACCAAAATCTGTATCAAAAATGTCTATTTCAATCATGAATATAGCTTTTATATATAATTAATTCAAACAAAACCATACCTTGTGGGACTTTTATAAGAAATGATACAGATGAAATAAACAACATGTAACCAACCACGGTGTTCCGAGTGTAAAACAATCATCACGGGGGTAGCCCCAGATTCCAACCCTAAACACCTGACAGTCAACAAAGTCCCAGACCAATTGTTACACGGTATGTCCATACGGAAGTTAAGGGGAGATNGGGGGGGACAGCAAAACGAGACGGGAATCTTAAAATTTCACTTCCATGGTTCAGTTTGTAACTAGCCAAGTGATTGTATTTTAGCTCTGGATTTTGCCAATATTTGTCTTAATTTATATCGAAGTTTCATATACAAAATGTAGCTGTTGATTACATAATATCAACAGGGGGACTATCCCAGAGTGACTATTTTCTAATATCCAATCTACATTTTGTTCTTCTGTTTCCGAGTGTGATCTCGCGTTCTTGATGTTATTTAGCAACCAAAAATCCCAGATGTCACGTGATTTGTCATCGTGGAAAGAGTTTATAATTTTTTGTATTCGTTGAATATATCTTCTCTCAGTCTATGGTATGTAAATGTTGAAAACTCTCATCTTTTTTAGACGCTAACTATATGGTAGGTCCTCAAGGCTTAGGATTAATATCGTAGTTCTGTGATGAGAAGCTACTAAATTATGTTGAAAGAATGACGACCTTTTTTGTTCCAATGTATAAAGGGCTTCGTGTGTTTTTATTTCACTTTGTATTCCTATTTCAGGAATGAAAATATTGCTGTACCCAAAAACCCAAGTAGTGTTACCCAAATAAAGAATTATTTACCATAGTAAGGGATATACATAATCTATCTATTTGATTTTGTTGGGTTTTTATTTTGTTCGTCGTCCTATCGGCCGCTAAGGTCTTTTAAGGACGTGTCTCCATGTTTATAATGAAAGTGTGCAAAGGTGTGTTTGCGGAAGGCAGGGTATGTTTGGGCATTTGTCTCCGTATGATAGCGCGGGTATGATGCCGACTTCAGAGAGCTACAATGTACCTCACTGAAACACATCTCATGCCGAAGGCTCATAGCACAGTATTCAGCACGGTCGCATTATACACATAAAGGTACAGACCCGTCTACGTCGGAGACCACGAATTGCGATATTTTGATTAACGTGGTTTTATAGGAGAATTATGTGTAAGCCTTGTTTGATTAAGACTGTTATAAATAAATATAAATAATGGACAGCGTATTAAAATAAATTTTCAATTAAAATATGTTAACTCAGTTTTCTTCTTTTCGTGAAAATTAAAAACTGTATCGATTCCATTACTTATTGTGTTCTGTAGAGTAGCATATACATAGAACACAGAGAAAAATCATGCTCACCTGTCCGCACACAATGACAACAACACACTGAAGTCGGTATGGTTTGTCATTTTAACAAAATGTTAGACATCAGAATTGATAAATGTTTCTGTACAAATGCACTCCATTATATTACTTCTTGGATTTTGTTGAAAGAATGACGCCCTTTTATCGTCCTAAAGTATAAGAACTCCAAATCAGCTTTTGAAATTGAGGAGACACATCCACCGTAAAACCGACGTACCGACAACAATCTACACAGTAATGAAATAACTTTAAAAATACTGCTATAGTCATTAAATGCGATTTTGGTGATTTTAACTTTTAATTTGAAATTTACACACCCGACACATTTCGATTTGTTTTTCTGACCGGAGAATTTCAGCAGTTCGGGATTGGCTCTGATCTTTTATCAAACCGCTTTCTCAATTTCAAACAGTTACAAATATGTGTAATAATAAATGAAGATTGATGAAATCGAAATATATTTGTACAAATTCGCACTTACCGTGTTACTTGTTCGACGAACTGGCCTGTACGCGCGTGATACAGTCTCGTGCTCCGCAAGATTTACTTACAGAGGGCGCCTTTTGCGATGAGCATAGAGTGTGACTGGCTCGCCTTCCATTTCTGTGTCAAGGCGAATATTCTAAGAACCGAAGACAGACCGGGAACGAGACTATGACGACCCTAGAGTATATATTAGTGCTTTAATTCAGATGATCGGATCGCTTTGCCCACCAAAATGAAAGCGCCGATTTTTTACAGATAATGTCGTAAATATCAGTCACGATATTTACTTGATAAAACCAAATAAACTCGTGTTTTATTTATGCACAAAAACCGCCATTTCTAAATAGATTTTTTTTTGAATCGTGAGCTATGTAGTTTTTTTGTGTGTTTCAAATTAAATAACGTATGGCAATACGCAGGTACATTGTTATATAATTAACAAATGAAAGGGGGGGGGGGAGGGGGAGGGGATGATGGTAAAGGAGCCAGAACAGTGAATTTAACCGTCGTCTCGAAGTGAAGCTGCGCAGAAATTATCGTTACGCCAAGAAGCATTTTGCTTGGGTTCCTTTTTATCTTCACCACTGACTTTTTTCAGGTTTTTCGTGGCATTTTTTCCTGATGAGTTTCTGAGTCATTCTTTTTTGTATGGCGTTAAGTTCACAAGCCCCCTGTGATACATGCACTAACAAGGTCTTTCGTTTGGTGGGAAAACATGGAAAATGTCATATATTCACTAATATACATATATAACGGGAATAATCAGTGGTCTGTTTGTAACAGCTAAGGTCACAGATTGGTGGTGTCCACCACGACGAGCCAATTCAGTGGCCATTTCAACAACAAACCATTTAAGCAACATGGGACATGACACCTTAGTCGTTCACATGGTCCGGTGGAGGGCTACATAGAGGTGTATAGAGACAGCAGGAGAAATGATAGATATTCAAATCATTGAAATAAATAACCATACGAGTCTCGGGGTAAGTAATTTAATGACTAATGCCAAAAACCGTGATTATGCACCGGAAGCGATTTTTCCGGCATGATCATAGCTTTTATAAATAATTTTGTGCAAGAAAAGAATACCGTGAAGAAAAAATCTTTTTTTCATTATCAACAATAGTGTTAAGAACATGAACAAAATCCGCAGGGTTAGACTGAGATTATTTTAGTATCGCTCTAACCGATTGAGTTATATTTAATCAACGTAAGTGTTCCGGGCCCAGCTGTCCTACAGAAACAAAAAAATTGCCGAGTGCTAAACTTCAAAAATCATATCCCGAGGGTTTAAGTTTCCCTGTCTGCATCACACAGGGGTGATGTGTTTTTTCTCCCACGCCTTCCTCATCCTAAAACAGCATGTAATGGTGAACTATCACACCGCCTCGCCATCAAGGGCACACGAAATGTGCAACACATATACACCTGATGCCGCTTCTATGGTGACTGATTAGTGCCACCAGGCGAACATGGCACAAACAGCCACCATACGCTTCACTGTTTACAATGCACAAAGTTATGAAGTGATTATGACGTTTTCAGAATACCAACGCGAGGGGGCTGTCTTTCCCACAGGTAGGCAGAACACCAACCTTGGTTTAACAACAGCACAAACCATCGCTCGGGTTGGATATTTCTCTGTCACACTTACATGTGGAGAATACCGCTATTTATTTCATGAGTGTCGAGCACACTTTACATACATAGTCTGCCATACAAGTATAATGTAGTCGTAACCACAGGGACCTGAGAATTTGGTCCTGCTATAGAGTAATTTTACACGTTTAGGGGGTTGAGATCAATTTTCAGTAAAAATGTCACCCCAATGATGACAATCTCGTATAATATCATCATTGGGGTTAAACCTCCCAAACGTGTAAAAGTACCCTTCTTACTGACTTATTGTCATTTCTAGCTATTTACTAATTAATGACGAGTGATGAATAGTGTTTTGTTAAACCGGGAATGTTTGTAAATAAACTGGCGAGCGATATTGTAACTTTCACTGTATAGTTTTAAACATACATTTAGCCTACTGTAGTTTGGAAGACTTTTTTAATAAAGGATGTTTGAAATAAAAAAGATGTACAGCAAAATCGAAGTAGATCTACTCGGATAGGGAAACAAAATAATAAAAAGACATAGTTTTTCCCGCTAATGCGATTTTAGTTTTTGCCATGTATGTGTGGCATATGTATGGTTAGAAAAACCTGCATTATTTGCTTCTGAATTATAAATTATGTGAAACTAGTCTTGTTGTATACCAGGGACGTAACCAGGCGTACGCACGGACGCACGGGCTTCCACGTAATTTTTTCAAGTATACTTTTAGCAAGGATCACATCGTAGAACTGTATGTGATAAACTTTAACAACTCATATAATTCTGGGCCCTCAGTGAATTCATAATCTCATTGATATTGTTTCTTTTATTGACTATTTAACGAAAATGTTCCTAATTGTTCATATGGAACTAATTATAATGCATTTGATAAAAAAAACTACAAGCCAAATGTGAAAATGATAAGTATTTTATGTCTCAAACTGCACCAGAATGGGTTCCAGATTCAAAAAAAATCTCGGGGGGGGGGGGGGGGGAAACCCCCCACCCCCTACTCGCGCTTCGTATGCTTCCACATACTCATAGTCCTGGTTACGTCCCTGTATACATAGTGAAACTGTGTAGGTTTACGTGTTGTATTTATGTGCCAAACGAATGCACCTAACAGCAGCAAGAGTTGTCGCTCTTGTGGACTTTCAACGGCGCCATGTTTTAAGTTGACAGAAATATTGTGTCAATTCGTCATTGGGATTTAAACGCCATTTAGGCCTACTGTGGCTTGGAAGTGTTACATACGTCTCCCAAGTAGTAAGTACGTTCAGCATTGTATACATCTTACACGTTGCTAGATAAGCTATGTGAGCACAGGGGCTTGTATAGACTTATATATGATAAAATTAGTTAGATATAACTATATATAAAAACAAGCCCCGTGACAAGGTGTTTCTAGCTGATTTTATCATATAAGTCTATATAAGCCCCTGTGATGTGAGCGTGGTTATCATACGTTTCAAACTTGCTTTATCAATTCGGGAAGACACTAGAATGCATGTAGATTTTAAACTGAATTTGTCCAAATGTTTATGAAATTGTCAAGTCCATAGTGGAAGGGAACTTAAACACATGTTTACAACCCCAAATTACCAGTTGGCCAAACGATGAATTCTTTCATCAAAGCCATGATAGCGTCTACCACACTGGATTTCGACCTAGCGACGCTGCTTACTGTTATATTAAACCGATCGGCTATTTCCCGATGCGAGTCCTTGTTTGCCAGGTACCAAACTGTCACCAAAACCTGTTTCTCTACCTGAATAGGTCCGCGACCTTGCTCATAATATGTAGAAACTATATCAGTAGCATAAATCAGATTTGGTAATAAATTGAACGACCTCCGTGTCATTATAAAATGAGAACGGAACTCTATCTCGTCATAATTTGCAACAACATTTTCAACATACAGCGGAACGCAAACTCGGTCTCGTGTCATACAAAACACAGCAACTGCGATTTCTAACATATCTTCGTCCTCACCATCCAAAAAAAGGTTAAAAAAAGAAAAATACGCTGTAGCAATCTTGCTGATGTCCGCCATGTTGGATTTAGCGTGCGAAGAACGTGATTAGAACGTGCTGTACCATTTAATGGAACCGTTCCAAGTTGGCACATATAGAATCTTTTCGTATTGTCAATGTATTTCTTAGCATAATTAAAAAATTGTTCATTATCATTATTAGATAAGTTTGAATCACCAAACATCAAGGTTTGTAGGCTGAGTGGAATGTATGCATCCAAATTCCTAAAAAGTTCAACGCGTTGTCGGGCATAGAGATTACAGTTAAAAAAATAATGGTTTGCATCTTCACGGTAAAAAACGCATTCACAACGTTGTTCATTAATAATGTTCACTCTGAATAAATCGTGTTTAAGAGAACTTGATTTGTTTCTTAATCTACAGTGTAAGATGTTAGTTTTCCGGTCACCAAAGAGAAAGAGATGTGAAAAATTTGAAACGTGTTTTTAGGAAGAGTATCTCTAAACGTGCTAAAAGTTCCTAACTGTCTAATGTTAGTATCTAAACGGTTCCAGAGTCTTATAGTAGCTGGGAAGTAGGAGTTGTTTGTTATTTCCAGTCGGTTATTGGGTAGGCTATCGTGTAATTTTCGGAGTTTCTTAGAGTGAATCTGGAGTTTTCAGAATGTAAAGGTGGAAGAAGGTCAGAAAGGTATGGTGGGGCTAGTCCATTGTGTATTTTGTAGAAAAAATTTAACTTCCGTCTAGATCTACGGTCAGATAAGGATTCCCAGCCAGTTTCGGAGTATAGAGATTGTCTGCTTGTATATGAGGGAAGTCCTGTGACTATCCTGGCGGCTTCTATTTGAATTCTTTCTAGTTAAAGGCCAAATAATATAATATGTGTGTTTCCGGTTACCCGACCTACCTGGAAAAAATGTGCCCGACCTGAAAGGTTTTTTTCGGCGATTTTTCGTCCGACTTAAACTTTTCCGGAATGTGTCCGATTTGTTATTAGTTTTGACTTGGTACGCCGTCAATAAAGCGCTTGACACACATGTATTGTGCGTGTCAAACGTCTTCGTGATTCGACCTTGACGGCAACATGGCGGCCATCGGAACAGAAAGTTCCATTTTGACCATTAAATTTGCAAAATGCGATCACATTGCGGAAAGTAAGCACCTTGCGTCGTTTCCAAACAAGACCCCGCTTTTGGATGTTTATGGGACATACCACCCAACAGACCTTAAAGGTTATACAACTGCCATAAAGTGTTCCGCAAACACTGAATTGTTTGATGTTGATGGAAATTTAAACGTCGGCGATATCGCCAAGGGTTTTGGTATGCGAGTACTGCTTTTTTCATGCTCAAAAAAGAATGTTTCTGTCCTTGATTTAATTGCGGAATCCTCAGAAAAAGCCACAGTAAAAGCTGTCGACGCCTTTCAATTATTGATGGCGAAAGGAAGAACCCTTCCCCAAAAGAGAAAGTCAAGATAAGTCGCCGTTTAATATTA